AGACCTATTGTACATATTTTTAGTGGTAGGGGAAACCGGAGCATCCGGAGGAAACCGGAGCAGACACGGGGAGAACATGCAAACTCCACTCAGAAAGGCCCTGGTCCAACCGGGATTCGAACCCAGGACCTTCTTGCTGAGAGAGTGCTATCCACTCAGCCACCGTGCCGCCCTTGCTGTGCAATATTTCACAATCCCACCTACTTCTCAACCACCATCTGGTCACAGCGTGCTACAGCAACGACAACAGCCACAGACACAACAACTAGGTGAAAAGAGACCAAGAAAGAAGCCTGCCAAAAAAGCAGCCAAGAGAACGAAGGAAGTGTGGTGTCTCTGTGCTGGACCAGAGGAGGGTGAAATGGTGGCCTGTGACAACGAGAACTGCCCAGTCCAGTGGTTTCACTTCCGATGTGTGGGGCTTGTGGACAGACCCTCCGCTGACACACCATGGTTTTGCCATTCTTGTGCTGAATAGTTTTTTTTTTTTTTTTTTTTAATGTCTTTTTGTTCTTTTGCACTAATTTTTCTTGTGCCAAATAGTAGGTTTTTTTGTTGGTATGTTTGGTTCTTTTGCACTAACAGCAGTATTACTATTTTATTATGTTGTTCATCTTTTCATGCTGAAATATTTATACGTTGACAGCACACGTTTTTTTCTTAAGCTGAATAGTCACTATTCAGCTTAAGAAAAGAACGTGTGCATTCAAAGTATAAATATTTCCAGCATGTAAACATAAACAACATAATAATGAAATACTATAATTAGTGCAATAGAACAAAAAACATACAAAAAACCCCCAATTTTTTTATTGTTTGGATGTTGTTTGTTCTTTTGCACTAATAACAGTATTATTATTACTTATGTTGTTTATGTTTACATGCTGGAAATATTTATACTTTGAATGCACACGTTCTTTTCCTGAGCCAAATAGTGTTTTTTTTGTTGGTATGTTTGGTTCTTTATTTATATTGCTTTGCCACATGAAGTTGTTTCAAACATTTATTTCAAAGAAATTAAAAAGGCAAGGCAAGTTTATTTGTACAGTACAATTCATGTTACAAAACAATTCAAAGCATTACAGCTGGGTGCAGAAGAAGCATTAAAAAGTAACAGAATAAAAAGAATTATTTAAAATTAAAAACAAAAATTCATAATAAAAAGATAACAGACAAGTAATTCCAGCTTAAAAGAAGCCGTGCAGATTTGTACATTAGAATAAAAACTATTCAAAAGCAGCTGAGAACAGGTGGGTCTTTAACCTGGATGTAAACAAACTGAGTGTTTCAGCTGATCTGAGGCTTTTTGGGAGTTTGTTCCAGACATGTGGAGCATAGAAGCTGAATGCAGCTTCTCCGTGTCTGGTTCTGACTCTGGACTCGGATCCAGATGACATGAGGGGTTCTGGTTGGTTCATAAGTTATGAACAAGGCACTCAAACAACACTTTTGCACATGTTCGTTAAGGCACAGCAAACAGTGACAATCTTATCTAAAGGCATTAGGTTTTCACCCTCACATTTGAGAAGCATATTCACAGGTACAGTTGAGTGTAAGAATTTGAATTTGTTGCGCACAACACCAATCACCCTCTCAACGTGAATTCTGAGATGTGCAATGGCCCTAGTCTCCTCCACATCTTTCGCCTCCAGCTGTGCACGACCCCTGGTGAATGTAGGTATTCTCACTTCAGCACACATCATGCCTACACTTTCTCTTATATTAAAGCCCCTATCTGCCAGCACAATGTCACCTGGTAAAAGTTTGTTCAGGAAACCACTTTGCTCAGTTATATGCTTGTCACTTGTGCGCCCACCCCACCCATTCGATATGAAGGAAATGACACCCTGGGGCGTGATCACAATAAGGTATTTCATGGTGTATGCGTGTTTGTATTGAGAGAAAGTCTGTGCCCTTGCTAGTACATTTGAGGGTTTCTCGATGAACACCTCGAAGCAGTCCACAATGGCAGCCACATTATTCCCAAATGACTCCACAAACTGATGTGGCATACTGGTCAATAAGCATTCCCTGCTTGGCCAGTGCACTAATGGACACAGCTGTGTGTACATCACACCAAGGGTATGGTGAAAGGCATCAGCGACTGTTGTCCGATGTACTCTAAACAGATGGCTGAGGTGCTGGATTGTGTTGTATTAAAATATACTCTGAACAGATGTGACAATAATTTCACCATTTTGAACAGCTGGTCCTAATTTTCATCATAGCCAAAAAGACCTGTGCCCTCAGGTCTTAAGTCACAAGGACACAGGATAAGCAGACATGAGCCATAAAGATAAACAAGCTGTTTAAACAAGGCGAATTATTAACTTTAAATAATAAACATTTTCCTGCCCTCTCATGAACATCTTGCGAGAGCAAAAGTTCAAACCACAATCAGGCAGAACAGGGGATCCACCAACGGCATTCTGACGCCTCCCAGTGGACAAGGGACGTCAGCACACCCGGAAGCTCCTACCCTTGGGCGCATATGGATGACGTCATCGGAAGTCTCCCTCATATGACCTTGCCCGAGTTTTTTGAGTTACAGTCAGGACAGGGCAAGCATAGGGAGAGCAGGCATAGTTTTAGGAGCTTTTGTTTGAATTTCTGTATCTGATTGTAAAGATACATTAAATACAGATGTTAAACTTGGAAAGTCTTCGTCTTGTATCCTGCTTCAACCTGGACACGTCCGTCAAAGTGTTTTTTGACATCAATTGGAAGGTCTAATCTGAGGCGCATTAGAGTCAATAGGACAAGCTGGAAGGGTGAGAGCTTCCTCATCCTTCCTTGAGGCAGATATGGAGTGAGGGTGAGTAAAAGTGTCTGGAACAAAGCAAAGTTTGGAAGCCGCGTGTAGTACTTCACTGTATTGTCATGACGACTCAGAAAGTTTTCATTCATCCGGTACTCATCAAGCTTCCGCTTCAGCTCTCTGTTTTCTTCTAGAAGATTGTTGATAACATCTTGTCTAGATGAGCAGAGTCCACATTCCATGTCCTGGGCTGGCGATGGGGGCTGCTGGGCCGGCGATGGAGGCTGCTGGGCTGGCGATGGAGGCTGCTGGGCTGGCGATGGGGGCTGCTGGGCTGGCGATGGGGGCTGCTGGGCTGGCGATGGGGGCTGCTGGGCTGGCGATGGAGGCTGCTGGGCTTGGGCTGGCGATGGGGGATGCTGGGCTTGGGCTGGGAGTGATGACTGCTCCAGATGCTGGGTCCTGCGCTTTACTTGCCGCTGATATCGCGCTCCATCTGTTTCTTTAACATTATTGTGGCCTAACCGCAAGGATGGTGTCCAGTCAGGGTGATTCTCCAACATCTCATATGATGGTTTACCTAGAACAGAATAATCTATGTAGTCAATGCTTTAAACTGGCAACAAGGTAGCATAATGTCATGAACAGAATCTCAACTATTTTTAGCAATCTCATAATCTCATATAATGGTTTACTTACGTCAGATTAATAAGATTATTAAACAATCTGGAATCTAAAGAAATATTAAACAAGAAGGTAACGCTATTCATGGTTTCATAAAAGGGCTCAGGGGGTAGTGGCAACACAAGACAAAAAAAAGTTTGGGCACCACTGGTTTAGAGAACATAAGAGACAGAGACAAACGCACTTTGAGTGCCCATATTCCACCAACAAGGTAGGATAATGAGCAGAAACTTAAATATTCTTAGTTAACATTAATGGTTGGCCATTAAGCATTTTCATAGAGGCAACAGTTTGTTAGATAGTTAGCTAGGCAGCTAACTTAAGATGCACTTCAGGGTTTGCAACATTAACAGCTAGGTAACCTACACTTCTTAACTTTAAAAAAACAACATAAAGACATTTTAGGACGTACCCGAGTGAAAATGCAGAGAACACACTCTCATCGACTGGGGGGTGAGATCGAAAGTAAGGTCCTTTCTTCTTATTGCAGCCAACCAAGCCATCCGGCATCTCTTCGTCAGGTCAGACACCTGCGCTCCCTGATGTTGTATCCATTTTGGTAGCCTAAAAAATTGTAAACCGTTGTTCCTACGTTTTCCTTTCTTATTGTGTGAGGTACTGGAGCAGTTTTTAACACAGCAATGAGCTCCAGGCATGGTAAAACAGAAATAGCGATGACCTCCTTTGCTACCGAGTTAACTCCAACGGTTTGCCGCTGGGTTCCTACCATCATGGCGGAGACGGGGAGGGTCCCGCGCTATCGAGGGGAGGGGCTCTGTGCTATGACGACAACTCCTCACTCTCAATAGCGCCTTTAAGGAAAATTCTTGCATCAGGAAGACCAACACCAAACCATCCAAGAGTTGAGACATCAAGCAGAAGTTTTAGTTGCACAAAACCAGGCATCTGAGCTGGCATTATCAACTCTCCACAAAGATCATTCAGACGAATGGGAAACATTTGAGGAGTTTGAGGTAGGTTAGAAGAAGGCAGTCAGAAGTTCTTTGTTCTGACGATGCAAATGAAAGAGTCTGTGAACCACCATTGGCTGATGACACAAGTGAACCAGGAAAGGAAGAAACTCCTGAAACACCCAACGGCTTCAATCGTGTCAAATCCGCCTTAAATGGACTCCTTTACGCAGCAAGTCTTGGCTTGTGTAGCTACATAAGCTATAGGATGGGCTCGGACAACCTCTACGAGTCCGGCCTTCCTTTCTACTAAACCCTGAGGACAAGCTGGGGGGTAATGTTGGTCTTTTGTCTCACTGTAGGTGACCTTTTTCACGAGAACCGGAAGTGCAGCCTCATCACGCTAGAGCCTGTTTGCGCTGGTTCTATGGAGAAATGGCTCTAATATTTTCACCAACATTAGTCAGTTTGCCAGCTTTTTCAATCGCTGCTCCTGAAGCAATCGCAGGGATGAATTCATGGACAGATAAAAGAAGGGGTTCCGCGACAAAGAACATATACACAAGTATCAAGGTAAAACTTAGCAACTAACAGCTAAGTTAGCGTTATGCCGTTGGCCCCGAGTGTCAGTTTGCTGCGAGAGGGAGATGCAGTTGGTGCGGCCCGTCTGCAGACGAGGTTGCAGAGAGCGTCCGCTCTGTGGATCTGATTTGAATCTGCCGCGGATCCGCTCCGCAGATTTGATTCTGGGGCGGATCGAAGGCGGATCCGCCCCAGAGTCTGTTGCTATCTGGGATATATGCTACGTCCGGTAGGAAAACTGCTGTGCGGTGCTCTATTTCCGGTTACGTTGGCACAGTGTGGGAGTCTCAGTTCCAGGTCTGGTTTGGTCTGTCAAATGGCTCAAGCAAACACGGATTTGCTTTTTTCTAGATGAATGTTGAATGTTTTTGTCTCCTGCTCCTCAGAGTAAAAGAGAGAAGTTTTTTTTTTGTGATAGAAATTATGTTTATATTATCAATTAAATGAATAAGAATGTGTTTAACATTAATTTAAGGCAACCCACCATTTGGCATTATGGGCCAGGAAGGGGAAGTAACTAGAGCCTGGACTTTAACGTGTTAATTACGATTAATTAACGCCACAAAAATTAACGTGTTTGAAAAATTGTCCATTTGTTTTCTTCCGCTTCATCCGTTGCCGGGTCGTGGGGGCAGCAGTCAAAGCAGAGACGCCCAGACTTCCCTATCCACACACACTTCCTCCAGCTCGTCCGGGGGGACCCCAAGGCGTTCCCAGGCCAGCTGAGAGACATAGTCCCTCCAGCGTGTCCTAGGTCTTCCCCGGGGCCTCCTCCCCGTGGGACGTGCCCCGAACACCTCCCCAGGGAGGCGTCCAGGAGGCATCCAGAACAGATGCCCGAGCCACCTCAACTGGTTCCTCTCGACGTGGAGTAGCAGCGGCTCTACTCCGAGCTCCTCCCGTGTGACTGAGCTCCTCACCCTATCTCTAAGGTAGCAGCCACTCTGCGGAGGAAGCTCATTTCGACCGCTTGTATCCGCGATCTCGTTCTTTCGGTCATTACCCAAAGCTCATGACCATAGGTGAGGGCGGGAACGAAGATTGACCGGTAAATCGAGAGCTTTGCCTTTCGGCTCAGCCCCCCTTTACCACAACGGTCCGATACAGCTCTGACTGCAGACGCTGCTCCCTCTTTACCACAACGGTCCGATACAGCGACCGCATCACTGCGCACTCTGCACCGATCCGCCTGTCAATCTCACGCTCCATCCTTCCCTCACTCGTGAACAAGACCCCGAGATACTTGAACTCCTCCTCCACTTGAGGAAGGACTGCTCCACCCACCTGCAGAGGACCAGGACCTGGAGAGGGCAAGGCACCTTTTTCCGGTCGAGCACCATGGCCTCAGATTTGGAGGTGCTGATTCTCATCCCAGCCGCTTCACACTCGGCTGCAAACCGTCCCAGTGCATGTTGTAGGTCCTGGTTCGCTGGAGCCAACAGGACAACATCGTCCGCAAACAGCAGAGATGAAATCCTGTGGTCTCCGAACCGGACCCCCTCCGACCCCTGGCTGCGCCTAGAAATTCTGTCCATAAACACAGTGATCAGAACTGCTAAATAGCTAAGAGAAGGGAAGGCGGGACTTATTTTATAGATTGTGACCAATCACAGCGTGATTGGTCACAATCTGGACCCGGAACACTCTTCCTTGTTGCACAAAAACTCGATCTAAAATATAATGTCACGCTAGCACAAATCTGCGCTACTTATTCTTCAAAAGGACGTATGTCCCAATGCACTGCATGGATATGGGTTGGATTTTTGTAATGAACACAAAAATAAAGTAAGTTAGTGCAGCTTTAAAATTTAAATACATAATAAAAAAGGTTCATTATTGCATTTTCTAGTTCCCAAATCTGGTTATTATAATATATATGTCTCATAAGCAATGAAAAAAAACAAAATGGTAATTTTTGTATATTACCGTGTGCCTGAAAGTGCAAAATTGCCCGTTTTTGATTTTCCATTTCCCTTCAAAAGTAGAAAATGTAATAAACGCAAAAGTACACCGACCCGCCCTCCACCGTTTCACCAATCAGTAAGTCCGTGATCCGGGCGCCAGAACTCACCGCGTGGAGCTAATCTCACTGGTAAAGTACCATGTGTCGCCGAACTAAAAAATGTCTCGTTATGATTCTCAAATCCTTAACTCATTGTATCCCATTCACGCACAAATACGTCAAAGCAAATAGTAACGCCGTGTGCCATTGACGCATTAATACGTCAAATTCCTTTTTTGCTATTTTTACGTACCCAGATGTCTATTGTATCTAATGTGTATGGGGATGACTTGAGACCATATTTTACCGAGCCAGCAGGTGGCAGCATTTCTCTCTGAATGGTTTGAAAACAGCCAGATGCACATGTGGTGCCTCTTTTTTCTCAACTTTCTGGTGATTTCAGTAAAACTTCCCTCTACTCGACGGAGGATTACAGGGGAACGAAACAAGCTAGAAACAAAATTCTTTTTGCTAATGAAAGTAGACAGTCCATTCTTTTAGAATCTGGTGTCGGATAGTCATAGTACACAATATTCTGTGGGTCTTGAAAAATCTGTAAAAATCATCAGAAATGGCTGGCACTGTGGGAGTACCTGTTCTGAGACAAAACAAGGAATATCAGATGAACAGAGACTTCTGTTTCCTCCTGTGATGTGGAAAGTGTTTGGAAACGTCTGCAGGCTACAGCTGGAAATGTCAAATATCCCCAAAGAACAGTAAACTCTCTGCTATAAGAAGAGAATGGTTTTTATCCTCACATTCTGCAACACGATCACTTTCACAGAGAACACTGGACAAACAGGAACTTTCTCAGTGTTGATAATGTTCTAGATGTTTTCACAGTCATTCACACTTTGGCAGACGGGAGGCGCTATAGAGCTGTTTAGTGCAGCCCTGTGGTCAGAATGAGACAGAGCTTTGGATGTATTACAATATCTGGCTGGATAGGGTATTAGCATGGAGCCGAAGGACCATGTGCTCGGGGGATTCTCGCGGTACTGCAGACTAAACCAGACTGAACCAGACTAAACCAGACTGTGGGCTACCCAGAAATGTTCCCCATAGAACTCAATGTAAACTAAAACAGACCTCAGCTGACAGAGAACCTGACAGAGAACCTACAGTTTTCAGAAAGGTTGGAATATGTGGGGCTTTTAGTGTTTCTTGTCATCCTGAACTTTTTTTTTTATTAAATCTTTTGGGTTCTCTTTACATCCACTTTACCCAAAGCATCATGGGAGCGCGTCCACTGTGCAGAACCGGGAGGACCAAAGAAATGACCAAATATGGACGAGTTCCACAAATCTTTTGGACCCCACGGTGGAACATGCGCCACCGAGCACAAGCCACTGATTTAAACAGGACGCCATCTTGGATCACCGGGTCCGGACGGAGCAGCGGCGGGAAAGGATGAATACAGAGTTAATTTCAGAGATGTGAAACTGGTTTGAACAAGACAATTCAATGTATTTTGTATCGCCCTAAATCAAAACAGTAGTTATAATGGAGGACTTTACAAAGCTGTGGATTCGCCAACACAGATTAGAGAATCAAACCGTTCAAACACATACAGCCATTGGCTCATAAAGGGCATAAGGGGGAAGAAAATAATGGAAAAGCACAAAGTTGAATGATCTTTATTGTGAAAAGAAGACCACATTTATTTGTTGACCGCTCAACTGTTCAAACTTCTGCAGCTAACTTCAGATGCTACATGGGCGGCACGGTGGCTGAGTGGATAGCACTCTCGCCTCTCAGCAAGAAGGTCCTGGGTTCGAATCCCGGTTGGACCAGGGCCTTCCTGAGTGGAGTTTGCATGTTTTCCCCGTGTCTGCGTAGGTTTCCTCCGGGTACTCTGGTTTCCCCTACCACTAAAAATATGTACAATAGTTCTGGCGTGCGCCTCGTGTACTGGCCCCTCCCATCTCTGTGTGGAGTGAGAGACAAATGCCCTAAAAATAACAATTGTAAACCGCTTTGAGACTCAGATGTGCAGTGAAAAGGCGGTATATAAATAAAGATTACTTACTACTTACTTACTTACTACATGTGTTTAGACGAAGTGGAGCATAACAAATAATGAACTTACAGTGTGTGTCAGGGGAGTGGCCATAATAATGAGTTTTCTTGTTTAGAGTTGACTAATGTGTTTTTAAATTTAGATTTTTTTTTAGAAAATGAGTGAACGTGGGGCATGATTTGATGTTTTTTTAAGCGTCAAGGGGTCATATTCGGGATCAAAAAGCAGAAGAATGAAGAAAGCAAAAACAATACAGGTTTCCATGGCAACCTACAGTATTCCATATATGACACATAGTTCTCGAGGATACTGTAGCCGTTGTGTTCTCAGTGATTGACATCTCGACATCTACATCTGTCCACTCTGCAGACAGCACTAAAACCACATGTTCAGAAACTACAGGTATGTGTTTGCACCGTCTGTAACTTTTGGGTTGGTTCCGCCCCTTTCTGTTATTATTCGGTAACTCTCAAATTGTCTTCATTATGAATTGATTTGTTTGGAGTGGACAGTGTGTATTAATGCACAGCAGAGCTGTAAAAACACCAGGTTCTAGCCTTGGGCTCATTTCCATCTGTCGTCCCACAGCTCTCATAAACACTCACTCACCCTGAATGAAACCAGAGTGTGCCGAGGAAACCTACGCAGACACAGGTAGAACATGCAAACTCCTGAAAATAAACCCAGGACCTTCGTGCTAACCACTTCACCACTCATTACTCCTCCTGTCTCTGTTCCACCTTACTGCCGACCCCTCACACTGCTCAGATTGGAAACCATCACTGAGCACACACACGCACACACACACACACACACACACACACACACACACACACACACACACACACACACACACACACACACAGACACACACACAGAGAGTGAAGTACTTTCACATCTGTCATAATGTGTTATATAATTTTTCAAATCCTTTTTTCAGTTTTATTGTTCTAATTCTGCTCAAAGAGGGAACCAGAGCCAGTGTTACTGCCTCTGTAACGGAGCAGTGTGAGGGCGCCCTCTTGTGGCTCACTGTGTGTAAGACCTTCACTCAGAGCTTTGTTATACATTGATCAGTGTTGGTCTCACAGAAGTGTGTGGTTTGATTCTATCCTGCCCGAAGAAAACCAGCATGAAACACACAAACAAATGTAAAATATAAAACACTACAACTTTTAAACTGTTAAGTTAAAGGTATATAATAATTAATCCAACAGTTCAAACAAAGGAAATGCAACACATATATATTTATATATATGTGACTAGATTCTAGAATCATTCTAGAATGATTCTAGAACTCGGGATAGAGGGACATTAGGGCCACAAGATGAAGGTCCAGTCACCGCTCGGGCCCTGGACTCTGAGGCAGAGGAGCCGGACAGGACTGAGGAACACATGGTAGATGATGCTCACAGAAAGGTGTCTGCTCTGAGAGAAAAACGGAAGCATCTAATGACGGTTGAAGGCAAACTCAAAGAACGTCTGTCTACCTTTGATCGTCTTGAAGGTAAAAAAGAGAATCTCGGCTCTGAGACACTGGTGTTCAAACGTCACACAAAGAATAACCAGAAAACAGAACGGCAGCCTTTGAAAGGACAAGGTTGCAAGGATGAGACAGTTTTAGAGACTCGAGCAGAGACTAGTAAAGCTGTTGTGGAAGACACTGGGACAGAGGGAAGTTCTGTTGAGGACTTTGGAGAACTGGACATGACGGAAAACTCAGAGGACTGGAAGCTAAAGCTAGTGGAAGCAAAAGGGGAGATTCGTGCGGTAAAAGTGAAGTTGGCTAAGATCAGAGGCAGTGTAGAACTTCAGAAGAGGGCCTTTTTGAAGGACATCAAAACACTTCGCAATAATCAAAGTCATTCAGTTTTGAACAAGAAGACCCATCAAGACCTACTGGAAAGATACCTACAACTGACACAGAACATAGACGAAGAGCGAGGTCTGATGCAGGAAAGGATTTTAAACTTTGACAAAGAGAGAAAGTTTAAAAATGCCCAGACTGAGTCCCTCTCAAAAGAAATATCTGCGCTTCAAACTGAAAATGCACAGCTTCAAACTGAAAATGCACAGCTTAACAGCGACAGAGACTTTCTGAGGGAACAGAGGCTAAAAATGAAGGAAACTTCTCGTGATCAAGAAGCAAAGATTGTCTATCTACAGCAGATAGTGGAGGAGGCATTTCAAAGACGTGATGTACTTTCAGAGCAGGTAGATGAGCTGGAAGCTGAGATTGCTGCCTTTCAAACCAGAGAACAGTAGTTTGAAACAGAAAATACTCATTTAAAAACAGAGCTGAAAGACTTAAAAGTCAAATTCAATGCATCACAAATCTCTGTTTGCAATGAAGTGGATCGAAACAACCAGCTCAACGCCAAAAAAGCCCAATTGAACTGCAAAATTTTCCGCCTTTTAGCAGAGATAGAAGAGAATGCCATTGCGGAAAATTCTTTCAAGGCTGAGCTTATATCAAACATTATTCACCTCAGACAAAAAGAGGAAGAACTCTTTGAAAGTAAGGAACTTAGTCAGAAGCAGCGGGACGAGAGCTCTGAACTGGAGAAGTTGGTTGAAAACATGAACGCGTATCAGGAAGACCAACACCAAACCATCCAAGAGTTGAGACATCAAGCAGAAGTCTTAGTTGCACAAAACAAGGCATCTGAGCTGGCATTATCAACTCTCCACAAAGATCAGGAGGAGGTGTTAGAAGAAGGCCGTCTGAGCCAATCAGAAGTGCTTTGTTCTGACGATGCAAATGAAAGAGTCTGTGAACCACCATTGGCTGATGACACAAGTGAACCAGGGAAGGAAGAAACTCCTGAAACACCCAACGGCTTCAATCGTGTCAAATTCGCAGCAGCATTCCTTTACGCAGCAGGTCTTGGCTTGTGTAGCTACATAAGCTATAGGATGGGCTCGGACAACCTCTACGAGTCCGGCCTTCCTTTCTACTAAACCCTGAGGACACACAGGGCATGGGGGGGACCTACAGCGAGGCAAAAGACTCATTTAGGCGACACAATTGTACGAGTCCTCCCACTTAAAAAGATGAAAGATGCCAATAATTTTCATCATAAGTTTTTACAGATAAGAGACAAAATGACAAACATCCATAAAATCACAGTCTGATTTTTAAAGAATTAATTTGCAAATAATGATTCAGTTTAGTTTTTAGTTTTGGACTAATTACTATTTTCATTCATTATTTGCAAGTAATCTCAAAATCAATGAAATGTGATTTTCAGGATTTTATCTTTACTTTTGTCTCATGTTTGAGGAATACTTATCATGGAAACAAAGGCGTCATCTTTTACACTGGAGGAACTCTCACAATTGGCGCTGACTAAAGACTTTTTGTCCCACTGTTTACTTGACACGTTATCCAGTGCTGTTCTGGATCTTCTACAATAAAGAATAAAGAACAAACTCAGAGCAGTTTTTACTTTTGGTGTATCTTTGTAGTATTTCAAATATTTGTATTTCTACTTTTCCCATCTTTTATAATGGGGCTTTTTGTAAATCTTAAACATTTTGAATGTTTTTTATCTTTTGCTTGAACTTTATAGTGGTAAGTTTTTTATACGTTCTCGGCGTCTAGTGTAACGCAAACAAAGTCTCTCTAATCTAATAATTTAGGTGATATTGGATTATTTTCAAAGGCACACCAAACATCCTTTTAAAACACGCCGCGGCCCGTTATTATTATAGAGCCATGCGCGGCCCACAAGTTGAAAGTGGAGCCCACAGACAGCTTCACAAACACCTGTTTCCTGGAGTCAGTCACATGACTCTCATTTGTTGTTTACTGATATTAATTTCATATAAATATATTACGGTAAAATTAATTCAAAAATAACCATAGATCTGTAACTTACTAAACTATTAAATTAATTAGTCCCAACACTGATCAAGGACGCGGTGCAAATGCTCAGTAACTTACCTCATAAAATCATGGATATTCAGAGTGAAATTAAATTAAATCTTGCGTCGCTTCTTGCACGATGACGTCATCTACATGCGACTGTTGTTTTCTTCCTCAGCGGCGCACGTGAGCTCCCAACGTGGCTGTTCCATGGATCTATAACAATATTGATAAATAAATATAATAGGGCTGTTCGAACAGAACAATCTGTCACTAAAGGCTTCAAACATCTCTGTTTTTACATTTTTGATCCTTTTTCATTCAAACTACTCAGTCTGGAGCCGGACAGAGGACGGAGACACGACTCAAACACAAGTTTATTTGCTTATTTATCGTGTTTAAAGTTCCTTAGAAATGTTTCTTGAAGATGAAGACTGGAATGATGATAAAGCAAACGTCCCGAGTCCATCTGCGGCTAAAGCAGACGAGCCTAGCCCCAACGTGAAGGTAATGATCAGGTCCAACATGTCAATGTGAATGTGATGTGTATGTGTTAAGTATGTGTGTATGATGTGTATGTGTTAAGTATGTGTTAAGTATGTGTATATGATGTGTATGTGTGTATGATGTGTATGTGTTAAGTATGTGTATATGATGTGCATGTGTGTATGATGTGTATGTGTTGTGTATGTGTTAAGTATGTGTGTATGATGTGTATGTGTTAAGTATGTGTATATGATGTGCATGTGTTAAGTATGTCTATATGATGTGCATGTGTTAAGTATGTGTGTATGTGTTAAGTATGTGTATATGATGTGCATGTGTTAAGTATGTGTGTATGTGTTAAGTATGTGTATATGATGTGCATGTGTTAAGTATGTGTTAAGTATGTCTATATGATGTGCATGTGTTAAGTATGTGTGTATGTGTTAAGTATGTCTATATGATGTGCATGTGTTAAGTATGTGTGTATGTGTTAAGTATGTGTATATGATGTGCATGTGTTAAGTATGTCTATATGATGTGCATGTGTTAAGTATGTGTGTATGTGTTAAGTATGTGTATATGATGTGCATGTGTTAAGTATGTGTGTATGATGTGCATGTGTTAAGTATGTGTGTATGATGTGTATGTGTTAAGTATGTGTGTATGATGTGTATGTGTTAAGTATGTGTTAAGTATGTGTGTATGATGTGTATGTGTTAAGTATGTGTATATGATGTGCATGTGTTAAGTATGTGTGTATGATGTGCATGTGTTAAGTATGTGTTAAGTATGTGTGTATGATGTGTATGTGTTAAGTATGTGTATATGATGTGCATGTGTTAAGTATGTCTATATGATGTGCATGTGTTAAGTATGTGTGTATGATGTAATAATGTGTGTATGATGTAATAATGTGTGTATGATGTAATAATGTGTGTATGATGTAATAATGTGTGTATGATGTAATCATGTGTGTATGATGTAATAATGTATGTATGATGTAATGATGTGTGTATGTGTTAAGTATGTGTATATAGTGTAATAATGTGTGTATGATGTGTATCCCAGTGCTGCGATTATAGACCGTAATTATCACTACGAGAATAAGTCCATGAAAACTGGAACAACATGCACAGCTCCATTTCGCTGCATTTCATTTGAAACACTCCTTGGTCGTGGTATTTAGTTCAGGCCTGTCACAATTATACATGTTGATTTCAATAATTGACTCTCGATACATTTTGAGCAACAGTATTTTGATTAGCATTTGTTCTTAGGGCTGGTCTTAGATGAAATACATTCGACCTATTGGGCCACATTTTAACACACAGTCAAGCCATGAATATTAGGATATGTGGTTAGTGCCACGGCGGAGGTCAAGGCTTCAATTCTTGTATGGATCTGGCCCTTAATCCTTCGCTGAGCTGTCACCCAGTCCTCACCACCAGCCCCTCACTGGTCCTCATTGGTCCTCATTGGTCCTCATTGGTCCTCATTGGTCCTCATTGGTCCTCACTGGTTCTCGCTGGTCCTCAGCAGGTGGTCCACAGGAGGAGGCTGCTGAGTCAACAGCGACACAGTCTTGGTCTTTAATCGAGGGAAGCAGAAAACAGAATAATGAAGATAATGATTCTTGCACACTGTACTTACAGACACTAGTGTTTTTATTTACAGATGTTTTGGCAAGTTCAGTTTGTGAGAGTCATTTTCTTCCTTTGGCAAAGTTGGCAAAGCTGTGTTCGGAGCCTTCTCTAACGCACCTGTCACAGAGACTGATGTGCAAAAGAAAACATGATAAAAGTAATGCAGTGTGGTGCCCTGAGAACCATGAACACTTATTTATTTGGCTGCTGTCTTTGTACTTGTCTTCCTCTGGGTCCTGTGACGCCCGTGGCCCGGTCCCAGTGCAAGGCGAAGGCGGTGGGGAAGAAAAGCCTGATGCGCACCCTGCAGACGCTGGGCTCTGTGCCGGAGTGGAGCAGCGAGCAGACGCACCGCGGCAGTGACAGCGACGCAGACACTCCTCACACAGACAAGAAGAAGAAGAGGAGGAAGAAGAAGAGGAGGAGGAGGGGGCACGCCGACGCAGAGGAGGGGAAGGAGGCAGAGGAGAGAGAGGAGGCCCCACTCAGCAAGAAGAGCAGAGGCCCAGAGCCAGGTGAGCCAGGACGAGAACAAAAATCTCCAGTTCCTCACCTGCTGAGGCCTCGTTGTTTTGACTTTTTGGTTTCCTTTTTCTTAATCTAGGCAAGGCAAGTTTATTTATATAGCACAATTCATACACAAGGCAATTCAAAGTGCTGAACAAAATAAGAAAGCATTAAAATAAATAAAATCACAGAACATTAAAAAGAAAGATACAAATATAAAATATAAAATCCCTCAGTTGTATGCACAGCTAAACAGAACTGTCTTTAACCTGGTTTTAAACATTGTCAGAGAGGAGGCCTGTCTCACATCTTCAGGAAGACTGTTCCAGATTTTAGCAGCATGAATCTGAAAAGCAGCCTCCCCATGTTTAGTTCTGACTCTGGGCACTAACAGGAGTCCAGTCCCTGTGCTCCTCAGAGTCCCAGCAGGAGTCCAGTCCCTGTGCTCCTCAGAGTCCCAGCAGGAGTCCAGTCCCTGTGCTCCTCAGAGTCCCAGCAGGAGTCCAGTCCCTGTGCTCCTTAGAGTCCGGGCTGGTTCGTATGGTACTAACATGTCACTAATATATTTTGGTGCGAGGCCATGGAGAGACTTGTAACAAGCAGAGCTGTTTTAAAGTCTATTCTCTGAGCCACAGGAAGCCAGTGCACTCTGAGGTTTCCCTGAAATGTAAAGTGCATTATAAATAAAATATATTATTATTATTATTAGTGCAGAGACCTGAGGACTGGACTAATGTGGTCGTACTTCCTGGTTCTTGTCAGGACTCGAGCTGCTGCATTTTGAATGTACTGCAGCTGTTTTACAGCCTGTTTGGACAGACCTGTGAGCAGGCCATTGCAGTAGTCTAACCTACTGGAGACAAATGCATGGATAAGACACATCTAAGGACAATGGCAATCAATACAGACACACAAAACATAGATTAAGGATAAGACAAAAGCAAAACAAAGGCTTCACATTCACGAAAGTAAACCCGATTTCAATAATTTGAATTTCTTCTCTTTTTACATGATTGCACATTGTTATTGGGCTCAACATCATTAAGAAAGTATTTAACAATCTTTCATTCATTTTACTTTTATATGAAGTGTTTCCCTATAAGAAAAATAGATATAAATTAATTTTATGTCTCTAAAGAACCCTAATATGACTTAATACTAAGGGACACTGTTCAAATTTAGAATCTTCCATTTTACCAATTGTTTTATTTCATAGATTCTGTTTTTTTCTGTTCTGCCCCTGATGGTTGATGTGGGCCTGATGAGACTTTGATTTTATTGTCTGAAATATTGTGATTAGAAACAAGACCATAATAATAATGTTAATAATAATGCATTGGTTTTATACACCGCTTTTTTGGACACGCAAAGTCTCTTCACATTATTCATTCACTCCAAACACGGTGGTGATAAACTACTACTGTAGCCACAGCTGCCCTGGGGCACACTGACAGAAGCGAGGCAACCAGTCTGTGCCATCGGCCCCTCCCACCACCACCAACCACTCACACACACACTATCTCCATATTGCTCTGAGGCCCTGTTCAGACGTCGCATCAGTAAAAGTATCTGCTCTTGTAAACACAGAGCAGATTGAAGCCTGGTCCCAGACTGTTATGTGCTCCTCTGTGTTTACACTGAATTAGGGCTGGGCGATAAAACGATAACGATATATATTGCGATAGACACGTGTTCGATATCAATAGAAAACAGGGTCGATAGAATGTTCGATAGTTTCACTTCACTCCGTTAGAAAAAACAGGAAAAAAACAGTAAAGCCGAGTCAGAAGTGCGCGGCATTCTGGGGGATGTAGGCAGAGACTTCTCGACCTATCACAGCCGATCATGGACTGCAAAACATTCTGGGAAATGTAAACAACCCACACCATGCGTAGCGTCCATGGATCTAAGATCGTGTTTAAATGCCGTGTCATTAGTTATACACGTCCGAGGAAAAGCAGGTGGTGTAGAGGCATGCGGCAAAATATGAACAGCGGAAGCACAGCCGCACGGAGCTTTCACCGGGACACAAGACATTTGAAAACAGCCAAAACAGGCGCTTAACCAGGACTAAACCAGGACTAATCCAGGACTAAACCAGGATTAAACCAGGACGAACAATGGGGGAGACTGTGGCACGGTGGCTGAGTGGATAGCACTCTCGCCTCTCAGCAAGAAGGTCCTGGGTTCGAATCCCAGTCGGACCAGGGCCTTTCTGAGTGGAGTTTGCATGTTCTCCCCGTGTCTGCGTAGGTTTCCTCCGGGTACTCCGGTTTCCCCTACCACTAAAAATATGTCCAATAGTTCTGGCATGCGCCTCCTGTACTGGCCCCGCTCCCATCTCTGTGTGGAGTGAGAGACAAATGCCCATAATTAACAATTGTAAACCGCTTTGAGACTCAGATCTGCAGTGAAAAGGCGGTATATAAATAAAGATTACTACTTACTTACTTGTGAACATATTCCTCGAGCCTCATTCGCCCGTGACTGTAAACAAGGCTGCTAACGTGTGTTAGCCGACACAACAAATATATTTTTTTAGGTTTTTAGAAAAACTACAAAAAACAATCAATATATATCGTTATCGACCGATATGAATTACTTTTATTGTGATATAGTTTTCAGCCATATCGCCCAGCCCTACAATGAATACTTTTTCTACAGTGTGACATCACCTCTGCTGCCATTCTGTGTCCCGCACTGTACTGAAACATGATAGTTTCAGTACATAATAATACATTTTATTTGAAAGCGCCTTTCAGAACACCCAAGGACACTGTACAATGGACACATTAAAAACAATAAAAACAAGAGCGACAGAATAAAACAGAGTACAATATTGAGAGGGTGCGCGCATAACTAGGTGTTATAGGACTGTCTGAACAGGTGAGTTTTGAGTCTGGATTTGAAGAGTGGCAGGGAGTCTATGTTACGGAGGTCGGAGGGGAGAGAGTTCCAGAGCTGGGGAGCAGAGCGACTGAATGCTCTGTGCCCCATGGTGACGAGTTTGGCCGGTGGAACGGAGAGTTTGAGAGTGGAGGAGGAGCGGAGTGCGCGGGCAGGAATTGCGATGTGGAGGAGGTCAGATATGTACGGAGGGGCCAGGTTATGAAGTGCTTTGAATGTGATGAGGAGGATTTTGAAGTTGATTCTATGTTTTATGGGAAGCCAGTGGAGTTGTTGTAGGACAGGGGTGATGTGGTGAGAGGTAGGGGTCCGTGTGATGATTCGTGCTGCAGCGTTTTGAAGGAGCTGCAGTTTCTGGAGGGATTTGTTGGGAAGACCGAACAGAAGTGAGTTGCAGTAATCAATGCGGGAGGTAACGAGGCTGTGGACGAGGATGGCAGTGGTGTGGGGGGAGAGAGAGGGGCGGAGACGGGAGATGTTACGTAGGTGGAAATATGCAGACCGGGAGATGCTATTGATTTGAGACTGGAAGGAGAGTGTACTATCGAGGATGACACCCAGACTCTTAACCTGAGAGGAGGGAAGGACAGATGAGTTGTTGATGGGAATAGGAAAACTGTTTGATTTCGAGAGAGTGGAGGGGGTGCCTACGAGAAGGACTTCTGTTTTAGAGCTGTTCAGTTTGAGAAAGTTGGAAGAGAACCAAGAATGAATTTCTTGTAGACAAAGGGCAAGGGAGGATGGAGGAAGAGATGAAGAGGGTTTGGTAGAGAGGTAGAGCTGGGTGTCATCCGCGTAGCAATGGAAATGAATGTTGTGTTTACGAAGGATGTTACCGAGTGGGAGAATGTAGATGATGAAGAGGAGGGGCCCCAGGACAGAGCCCTGGGGCACACCAGCAGAGACAGGGAAAGTGTTGGACCTGTGGGATTTGAGTTGAATGAACTGTGTGCGGCCAGAGAGATAGGAAGTGAACCAAGCAAGGGGGGTGTGAGTTATGCCAATGGAACAGAGTCTGTCAAGGAGAGTGGAGTGAGAAATGGTGTCAAAAGCTGCGGTGAGGTCAAGGAGGATAAGAATGGAGAGCAAACCAGAGTCAGAAGCTATGAGGAGGTCGTTAGTGATTTTGAGAAGAGCTGTTTCAGTGCTGTGAAGGGGACGGAAGCCAGATTGAAACTTCTCGTAGATATTGTTTGTGATAAGATGGTTATGGAGTTGAGCGGCGACAGATTTTTCGAGTATTTTGGAGACTAAGGGAAGGTTTGAAATGGGACGGAGGTTATCAAAGTTGGTGGGGTCCAAACCGGGCTTTTTCAGGATTGGTGTGACTGTGGCGGATTTGAGTGAAGAAGGGACAGTACCAGAGATAAGAGATGAGTGGATGATATTGGTGATAAAGGGAGCAAGTGAAGGAAGGCAGGATTTAACAAGAGCTGTAGGGAGGGGGTCAAGCGGGCAGGTTGAGGGTTTGGATTTGAGGATGAAATCGGAAATGACTTGAACGGAGGGGAGGATGAAGCTGGAGAATGTAGTTGTAAGAGATGAGTGGGGGGCCGGGGAGTCTACTCCAGAAACTGCAGCTCCACATGTGAACAGGTGTTGATGGATATTGGAGATCTTGGAAACAAAGAAAGACATGAGTGAGTTACAGAAGTCAGTGGATTGCATGTGGTGTGGGAGAGAGTCAGGGGGTTTTGTGATATTGGAGAGGAGAGAGAAGAGAGTTTTAGAGTTATGTTGATTGGAGTAAATTAAACCGGAGTAGTAGGCGGATTTGGCAGAGGAGAGATTGTCCTTGTATTGAATGATATGGTTATTGTACATCACATAGACCAGCCCAGTGATTTTAAACAAAGGTCACTGTGTGCATCTTAGCAATGGATCATGAAAATAACTGAAATTGGGCAAAAATGTTGAGATTATTTCATTTTTTTTGGCACAGCCTCTGTTCCCTGCTTTGTTTGATGTTTTTTTGTTTTTTGTCCCAAGTGAAGAAAGTGAGCCCTTCAACCACAGACAAACCACAGAAGGAGGAGTCGTGTAAACCAGCGACCGACTCTGCCTCAAAGCTGAGCCGAAAGCAATGGAAAAACAAGATGAAAAACAAGAGAAAGGGCAATAATAAGTTTAAAGCCAACGCTGTCCCCAAAGACGTAGAGAAGACGGAAACAGACACGAACAGGGATATACCCCCCAGCAAAGGCACGGCCAGGGAGCACCGCGAAGGAGGGATTAGCAAAGAACTTCCAACACGCGAGAGTTTGGAAATCAGCAAAAAAGCACAATTGAAGAAAGACAAGCTGCGCAGACTGCTCCAGAGCCCAAAGACTGACGAGGTGAGCATTTAAACATCTGCTGTGGTGCGAGGTTCCAAATCCACTGCTCACATCGGCACATGCTAACAGGCTTTACACGGTGTCTGGAAGTTGTAATTCCTACTGACGCCAGGAGATAATATTATTATTATTATTAAACGGCTTATTAAACGAGCGCGAGGTCTGTACAGAGAAATATCCGACCGCAGCCTTTTTGTACAGGCGAGGTCTGTGCAAAAAAGACCAAGGTACAGACCGACCAAGCGGGGTTAATACATGTTTTTATTATATGACTATTTTTAATTTATGCCAATATCGATCTCCACCTTGGTTTTCCTAATCGTGTTTTGAGCTTTCTGGTCTGTAACGAAGTTGTCAATATCTTCTTGACTGTTAAGAGTTGTGTTTTCGTCGTTATTTGCTGTTATTACTTCCTCTGGCTCTTCGAAGTCGTCGCTCATTCTTTTTTTTACAGAGGAAAGACATCAAATTTGATACGCGCTGCGGACCGATTGTCATGGTAACGGCCCGATATGGGAAAATATCAGACCGCAAATCAACCAATCAGAGCGCGCGTACGGTCCAAGTCATATAATAATTAATTTTATTTCTTAGGTGCTTTTCTAGACACTCAAGGTTGCCTTACATCACAAGTAAAAACTACACTTATTAAAAAATCAGGTTAGAATACAGTTAAAAGGAGCATGAACAGGATTGTGTGGTTATGGTGTTAGTGAATTGCCGTTAGGACTAAACAGATGAGTTTTGAGGTGGATTTGAAGAGTGTGAGAGAGTCTGTGTTATGGAGGTCAGGGGGAGAGAGTGTTCCAGAGGTGGGGAGCAGAGCGGCTGGAGGCTCTACCCCCCCCGCATGGTGACGAGGAGAGAGGAGAAGGAGGCAGGAGGGACCAGGAGGAGCAGAGGAAGCGGGCAGGTGTGCAGATGCTGCCTGCCCAGGTTTAGATGAATGTAATAATTTAGTAATAATAACAGCAGGTAATACACCAGATGAGTTGTGAATGTATGAGTTTGGTTTGGGTGGGATGGATGGCCCTTTTTGTTTTGGTGTGTTACCTGTTGTTTGCTTTTTGTTTTGTTTACAAGAAATACAGTAGAAAATAAATAAAAATAGTAGCTAATGTGACAGGTGAATGGCACTGGTACAGACTCAGCAGTTCTCATTGTACAGTCTGACAGCAGCAGGGTGGTAGGACCTGCGGAACCTCTCCTTCACACAGCGAGGGTGGACAAGTCTGTCACTGAAACTGCTTTCCAGAGCTTTGTCAAGTTGAGGGCCACATGTTTGGAATCCGGAAGTGAACTATGTCTTGTTTATAGGAAGCTGCCGTGGAGGAGGAGGAGGAGGAGGCCGCAGTGGAGGCCCCGGACCCGGACCCCTCGGCCTCTCTGCGGTCCCGGATGGAGCAGCGTTTGGACGCGGCCCGCTTCCGCTACATAAACGAGGCCCTGTACAGCACCAGCAGCAAGGAGGCACAGCGCATGTTCACACAGGACCAGGAGGCCTTCTGGGTCTATCACCGCGGCTACAGCGCCCAAGTGCAGCGCTGGCCCCATAACCCTGTCGACCAAATCATCCAGTTCATCAAACTAAAGTAAGACCTCTCTGTCTCAGTATACATACAGACTCAGACCTCTGTCTCAGTATACATACAGACTCAGACCTCTGTCTCAGTATACATACAGACTCAGACCTCTGTCTCAGTATACATACAGACTCAGACCTCTGTCTCAGTATACATACAGACCCAGACTTCTCTGTCTCAGTATACATACAGACCCAGACTTCTCTGTCTCAGTATACATACAGACCCAGACTTCTCTGTCTCAGTATACATACAGACCCAGACTTCTCTGTCTCAGTATACATACAGACTCAGACCTCTGTCTCAGTATACATACAGACTCAGACCTCTGTCTCAGTATACATACAGACTCAGACCTCTGTCTCAGTATACATACAGACCCAGACTTCTCTGTCTCAGTATACATACAGACCCAGACTTCTCTGTCTCAGTATACATACAGACCCAGACTTCTCTGTCTCAGTATACATACAGACCCAGACTTCTCTGTCTCAGTATACATACAGACTCAGACCTCTGTCTCAGTATACATACAGACCCAGACTTCTCTGTCTCAGTATACATACAGACCCAGACCTCTGTCTCAGTATACATACAGACCCAGACTTCTCTGTCTCAGTATACATACAGACTCAGACCTCTGTCTCAGTATACATACAGACTCAGACCTCTGTCTCAGTATACATACAGACCCAGACTTCTCTGTCTCAGTATACATACAGACTCAGACCTCTGTCTCAGTATACATACAGACTCAGACTTCTCTGTCTCAGTATACATACAGACCCAGACTTCTCTGTCTCAGTATACATACAGACCCAGACTTCTCTGTCTCAGTATACATACAGACCCAGACCTCTGTCTCAGTATACATACAGACCCAGACTTCTCTTGACATCCATACTCTTTGCAGCTGTCTGTAGCCGCTGTGGCGTCTGTAGCCGCTGGGGTCTGTAGCAGGCTCTCCGTTTGGATCGCCTTAGTGTATAGTCTGGATGTAAACGTGTGTGTTGTGTGTCATGTGTGTGTGTGTTGTGTGTGTCTCCTGCAGGCCGGCGTCTCTGGTGGTGGCAGACTTCGGTTGTGGAGATTGTAAAATCGCGAAGAGCGTGAAGAACACCGTGCACAGTTTTGACCTGGTGGCGACGTCTGAGCTGGTGACGGCCTGCGACATGGCACATGTGAGTGTGTGTCTGTGTGTGTCTGTGTGTGTGTGTGTGTGTCTGTGTGTGTGAGTGTGTGTCTGTGTGTGTGTGTGTGTGTGTGTGTGTGTCTGTCTGTGTGTGTGAGTGGGTGTCTGTGTGTGTAAGAGTGTGTGTGTGTGAGTGGGTGTCTGTGTGAGTGTGTCGGTGTGTGTCTGTGTGTGTGTGTGTCTGTGTGTGTGTCTGTGTGTGAGTGTGTGTCTGTGCGTCTGTGAGTGTCTGTGTGAGTGCGTCTGTCAGTCTGAGTGCGTCTGTGAGTCCGTCTGTGTGCGTGTGCGTCTGTGTGTGTCTGTGTGAGTGCGTCTGTCAGTCTGAGTGCGTCTGTCAGTCTGAGTGCGTCTGTGAGTCCGTCTGTGTGCGTGTGCGTCTGTGTGTGTCTGTGCGTCTGTGAGTGCGTCTGTGTGCGTGTGTGTCTCTGTGCGTCTGTGTGTGTCTGTGTGCGTCTGTGTGCGTCTGTGTGAATGTCAGTCTTTAACATTATCTCTCATTACCTCTTTAGTCTCTATCAACACGGTGGCTGAGTGGTTAGCCCTCTCGCTTCTTTGCAACAAGAATGTGAATACGTGAATAGATGGTGTTTGGTCGGAGCCTTTGATGGTCCAGAACTCTGAACAATGTAAATCTCTTTGTGTGACCTTGGTCTGTACAATGTGCTTTATAAATAAACATTACTTACTTACTTTAAAGCTGAGGTGCGTAACAAAATCAATCTTCTTCTTTACGAGAAAACAGAGTCAAAATAAAGTCATCTGTATTTCTCCTATTTCTGAAAAATCTGATCTGGCCAAAATGAAATACCCCAGCTTTACTTTGGCATTTCAGGTTTTAGAACGGGAAATTATTAAAGTATATAAAGAACGCAAAGTAAAGGCTCAAAGTGACTAAAGGCAGATAGTTGAAAATAACATAATTGAAGAAAAACTCACTGCATTTGTTGTTGTTGTTGAAGCAGTTGTGTTTCCGCAGGTGCCTCTGAAGGACGGCTCGGTGGACATCGCCGTCTTCTGCCTCTCGCTCATGGGAACCAATCTCGCCGACTTTTTAAAAGAAGCAAACCGCGTTCTGAAGAGAGGGTAAATTCAGTCGCCCCTGTAATTATTTTAAATGATTATATTAATTATTTAGTTATTTATGTTGGGCGGGTCTAAGCTGTGATTGACACTTGACATCAGCATTGGCTGTGACAAAGATGGAGAGTGAACACAGACACCAGCTCTACAGCTTCTTCAGCTAACTAATCTAACAATAAAAGCAACTAACTAATGACTAAAACTACAATATTCAACAACAAAGCTATTAACACTACACAATTATCTATAATACAAACAGCTATGCTAATACAAATCTCCCTAAATGCTATAACTAATCGCAAACCTGACAATCGATGAAAACACTCTCTGCTGTTCCTCAGAGCAGCAGTGCAACTGACGTCAGCCTTTTGCCAGATTCAAAATTCAAATGTAGTAATACAGGTCGCCTGCAGATGGCGCCTCACAGACGGTTTTAGGCATAAAGTTGATCTTTCAACTAATTTGCACTAAAGTGACCAGGATATGTAGACAACACTATTTGACACTCATTTATACCGTTTATCAGCTTAAAAAACTGGACTTGAGGGTGAGTTGTCCTTTAATGTCTTTTTTTGCAGTCATCTTTGTTTAATGCCAGAGGAAAGCTTTTGTGGCTTGTGTGCACTGTGGTGATTAGATCTGAGGACTACCTCCTCAGAGGTCTTCCTGTAGCCCTGAGTCCTGAATCCTTTCGACAGCAGTAGCAGAACTCAGACCTAGAACAAACCAGTTGCCAAATGAGTGTGACGCCTCTGCTGTAGCTCATTCAGAGTCTGTTTCGTCTTGAAAACGCTTGTTCTCGTTTCTAGGGGGTTTCTGAAAATCGCGGAGGTGTCGAGCCGCTTTGAGAACGTGCGGAACTTCACCACCGCTCTGTCCAGTCTGGGATTCAAACTGATGTCCAAGGTAAGGCCCACAGAGCTGCGGGGGTAAAAGTAAAAGTATTGCGTTATGGAGGTCTATTTATCAACAATCATTACAAAGTTGTTGATTCGCCAACACTGGATCAGAAAATCTAACAGTTCAAAAACAGGAAATGCAATAATAACCAACACATAGAAGCCATTGGTCCAGAGGGAGCAAAAGAAGGATTCTAAATTTGATTGAACAAACCGGTCCTAAAAGTGTGGCCGCAGGTTTTAGTTCCAACTTGAGCAGAGAACATCAGACTCCACACATTTTCCCAAATCTTCAGGTTAAAACTCGGCCTTATCCATCCGTACACTCCACTCAATCATCATTTCCTGCATGTAACGTCTGGGTCTGGTCCCTGTTTTAGTGATTACAATCGGTTGAAATCCATCCAACCAATCAGAGAGCGCGGGAGGCGGGTGTTGTAGTTAGTTGTGGGAGACGTCAAGAGTTTGCGCCGAACGGGAAGGTTGTAGTTTGGCAAAGAATGCGATAGTGAAATATTCCGGTCTGGTTCTATCAAGAAATTGAAGCCGGAGTAAGAGGAATGTTTAGCAAATGTAATCGCTGGCAAAGATTGTGGCGCTACTCCCCACGGGCTCCGTTAGCGGCAAAGGAGATGGCTAAAACTAGGCTAAATGCTAAATTTTAAGGACTCACTCGGGCTCATTACATACGTCACGGTAAACTCAGATCCAATTATTTCAATATGCAAAAGGAGTTAACCCCTCCCACCTGTTCACGGAGTCAATGGAGCAAATCCAGACCTTAGTATGAAATGTAATTTGTACTATGGTGTGGTACGACCGGGCTAGTTAAAACTGGACCCACCTGAGGAAATGGGAGGAGTCTCATGTGCTCCTGCTTAGGTTGGAACTCAAACCTGCAGCTACACCGGCCCTTTAAAGCTGCACTAACTGACTTTGGGATTTTGAAGCCGTGGACTCGCTGGCCTCTCTCTCTCTCTGCTCCCCTCCCCGCACCCACGAAGCTATCGCCCCCACACACACACCCACTGTTGGGACGTAGCTAGCGTCTCGCAATATGGATAATACATGGATATGGATTTGCACGTGGATGGCGTGACCATAGAACGATACAACCGGGAAGAGCGGAGGAACGAGACTTTCTTTTGGATGGCTGTCTCGCTGTGTAAGCAGTAACCGGTGACGAAGAGACACGAAGTTTCAGGTTAGCTCCTCGGCTTGTTGTGCTAACTCAGCCATCTATGCTAACGGACCTGTAGATTTCTCACAAAAGTGGGGGCCAGTGGTCCGCTGTGATTGGTCACAATCTGCGACCCGAAACACATTCTCTTCCTTGTTTCATCAAAACTCGATCTAAAATATAATGTCACGCCAGCAAAAACCTGCGCTACTTTTTCTTCAAAAGGACGTATATCCCAATGCCCTACATGGACATGGATAGCATTTTCGTAATGAATACAAAAATAAAGTCAGTTAGTGCAGCTTTAAGGACCGGTCTGACACCACTGCTCTACAGGAAGCCAGTGGAGTTATGGGTTCCCTCCCTGATGAAACAGGTTGTCTTGAGGGGTTTTACGGCCTTAAAACATCAACTCAAAAAGAGATTTGTTCATTTTGGTTATTTTTGTTTCGACTCTTGGGATAATAACATCTGAAACAATCTGACACTTTCCTTTGAAAAACTTTTTTTTTTCTTTCAGGACACCGAGAACACTCACTTTTACTCCTTCGACTTTTTAAAGACTGGACCAGCTCTGGAAAATGTGAAAAAGTTTGGACTGGAGCTGAAGCCATGTTTGTATAAAAAGAGATGAGGAACGGAAATGTTTTGTTTTACAGCGTTTTTTGTTAAAGTTTTATCATATTTGCTGAAATACCCAACTCTTTTGACTTGTTCATTTCAGTCTGTCTTTATTGTCACCTGGTTCTGCTTTATATGCAATGAATAATAAATAATTTCTCAAGAAGGAAGAAGAGAACATTGTCATTTTCATTGATTGTTGCATTTTTGATATCCAGTATAACATCCTGAGGCCTGCGGCGTGAAACCGGTTTGGTTCAGGTTTACTTTAGGTTTACTTTGAGTTTCCTGTTTGTGAAAACCCTGGTCTGGAGCAGGGTAACTTCAAGTTCAGAGGAGAAACCAGAGTGGGCCATTCATGTTCACCAACTTGAATCATTTTGTTTCCTCATGAGCAAAAAGTGGATTAAACCATGGCACTATAATGTTATTATAATTCATAGTATAATGTTACGTGAAGACGAGAGGGTGTTATTAGGGATCATCAAGATCCACTTTCATTTTCCACTGATGGCATTTATTAGGAGCCGCAACTAAAAATGACATTGTTCTACTGAATCTTTGTGATAAGGCGTTTAAGATTGATATTGTGGAACATGGTTGGTAAACTGTGGGTAAATTGTTGTATTATAAAAAAGTTGTTTAAAAATATGTATTTACCCTCTGTCTTTGGGGTATTAGTACTTTACTGCTGATGAATAGATACATGTCAGTACTGCCAGAGGACAGCTGTTTGTCCCATGGACTGTATGTTTGTCCCATAGACTGTATGTTTGTTCCATGGACTGTATGTTTGTCCCATAGACTGTATGTTTGTCCCATGGACTGTATGTTTGTCCCATGAACTGGATGTTTGTTCCATGGACTGTATGTTTGTCCCATAGACTGTATGTTTGTCCCATGAACTGGATGTTTGTCCCATAGACTGTATGTTTGTCCCATGGACTGTATGTTTGTCCCATAGACTGTATGTTTGTCCCATGAACTGGATGTTTGTCCCATAGACTGTATGTTTGTCCCATGAACTGGATGTTTGTCCCATAGACTGTATGTTTGTCCCATGAACTGGATGTTTGTCCCATAGACTGTATGTTTGTCCCATAGACTGTATGTTTGTCCCATAGACTGTATGTTTGTCCCATAGACTGTATGTTTGTCCCATAGACTGTATGTTTGTCCCATGAACTGGATGTTTGTCCCATAGACTGTATGTTTGTTCCATGGACTGTATGTTTGTCCCATAGACTGTATGTTTGTCCCATAGACTGTATGTTTGTCCCATGAACTGTATGTTTGTCCCATGAACTGTATGTTTGTCCCATGGACTGTATGTTTGTCCCATAGACTGTATGTTTGTCCCATGAACTGGATGTTTGTCCCATAGACTGTATGTTTGTCCCATAGACTGTATGTTTGTCCCATGGACTGTATGTTTGTCCCATAGACTGTATGTTTGTCCCATGAACTGTATGTTTGTCCCATAGACTGTATGTTTGTCCCATGGACTGTATGTTTGTCCCATAGACTGTATGTTTGTCCCATGAACTGTATGTTTGTCCCATAGACTGTATGTTTGTCCCATAGACTGTATGTTTGTCCCATAGACTGTATGTTTGTCCCATAGACTGTATGTTTGTCCCATAGACTGTATGTTTGTCCCATAGACTGTATGTTTGTCCCATAGACTGTATGTTTGTCCCATGAACTGGATGTTTGTCCCATAGACTGTGTTTGTCCAGAAAGGGCAGGTGTGGCTGCAGGTTTTAGTTTCGACTTGAGCCAGAGAAAATCAGACTCCACACATTTCAGACCGTAGACTGTACATATTGGTCAGATGCGAGGCATAAACTGTCCGCTTCAAAAAACGGACAGTTCTTTTATATAACTTTAATTCAACTATCCTATATATAACTATTCTGTTTGTCTTAATATTTTATATTATAATGATGCTTGTTATTGACTTGTATTGTTTTATGCTGACTGTGCAGCACTTTGTAAACATTGTGTTTGAAAAGCTCTTTACAAACACATGTATATAATAATAATTACATTTGTTTACTTCCGGAAGCCGAAGCCCCCCTCGGACACCACTTCCGGTGATACAAGCGTCTATTGTTCCGGCTCTCTATGGTTAATATTTAGTTGTTAGTCTCTCAGTGATAAACAGTTTTACATGAATCAGAGATGAGTCCGTCCCAGAGGCTGAGAGCAGCTGTGAGTGCGCGGCTGGCGGCGGCTGCAGAAGACATCTTTGATCTGTTGGAGAGAACCATAGCGGAATATGAAGAAGAACTGTCCCAGTGTGTTTGCAAACACAAGAAGAGGAGAGAGGAGCCAGGCACAGCTGCAGAACCACATGCATCACCTGGTATGCTCAGGGTTTATGGTATTAAAACCAGGTGTTAGCATCCTTAGCTAGCCCTGTACATTTACCACCATGATCCCGTTAGCATTAGCGTTAGCATTAGCTTTAGCCCTCAAACACACACATTCCTGCTCATCGGCCTTGTTTACGTGAGACCAAAGTGTCAGTAAATGTCTTTGTTAAGTGTAAATGGTTTATATTGAATTATCCTTTTGGAGTTATAGTAAAAGGCTAACTTCATCAGATTGTTGAGCTTCTGCAGAGTCCCATTAGCATCTGGCCACAGTTCAGAGCCAGGTCCAGAGCCAAAGCTGGTTTGTGAAAGTTGACTAGTATTCTATTTAATTTAGTATTTTATAATGATAAAATAATAAATTAAAATATAATGCCACTTCTGTCTCTCTCTCTCTGATCTAGATATCAAATAGATATTTAAATGTTTCCCTCTACCTTTGAGTATTGTTCTCTCTTTTTAATCTACTGTAATTATTTATGATTTTAATGCCTTGTGTTTGTGAAGCATTTTGAGTTGCCTGCCTAATATTATTTGGGTGATATTTTGCAAAATATAACCCTAAAATTCTGTGTGCATTAAAGAGCATAAACAGATCTCTTTAGTTCCAGTCAAATAAATTATTGTGGCACCAGTCTGAATATGAGACAATTACTGATTGGACTTAATGAAACGGTGAATATATATAATTTTTGGTAAGGCCTGTTTTTTCCTATACCTTTCAGTTTTAAGACCTATTTACTGCAATCTTTACAGGTTTAACTTGGACACTGGGACCATCTACATTTGTGGATTCTTTTGAGCCGGAGGATTTTTTTCTCTATTCCATGTTTTTTGTTTGTGGACTTTACTGAAACCAATGAGAGCGGCGCAAACTCCACATAGATGGTCCTGCCCTCTGCCCAAAGTCAGCCACCTCAGAGTTGTCTGAAGTCTAACCCCCCAGTCCAGTTTAGCGCCGTAAAGGTTAACTACAACAGTCTGTGGTTATGAGCTGTGTCCTGAGACTTTGCTTTTGTGTTTAGTTAAAATCCAAAATAAGAATTGTTTTTATCGTAAGTTACTAGAAGTCCCAAAGTAGAAATTTGCTTTGGCTCATGGCGCAAACAAGTTATACAGTAAAAACAAAACAAAAATTGTCAATATAAGCACACACAGTAGTGAAGATTAGCTGTACAGGTCCTGGTCAGAGATTTTAAAGTGACAGTTGTAATGGGCCGAGATTTATTGATGGGTTCATGAGTCCGACTGCAGAGAGGAAGAAACTGTTCCCAGGATGCACCTTGGCCTCCTGTTTGAGGGGAGTGGTTTGAATAGTCCATTTATTTAATTAATCATGTTTAATATCATGATACCATATGCTGTTGTAAGACGAAACAGGAAAGTTGGTGTGCGACAGTGCGACACAGATGCATGAAAAACACATTGAAACAATAGAAAGTGCAGTCTTTCTTGGAAGTCTTTATCAATTTCAATGAATAGATCTTGGATAAAAAATAAAATAATTCAGAGTTCATTGTTGTCTATATTTTTGGACATTCTTGGTCTTTCTTGTAAAGCAATTACACTGTTCAAATAATTGTGGAAAGGTCTTTTTAAAGCCCTTCAAATCCAAAGCAATGTTTTGCCTTAAGCGCTCAGGTTTTGACGATACTCGATAATACTGAGACATGCTTTTGGACCTGCTCAGACCTGGATTTTGGAAACATTTAGGCTGGAACTACAAAGAATCAAGTCTGTTTAAAAGCAACCTCAGTGCAGCGAGTTTTAGAACGTGCTCGATTACATCATCAGGACAATTCTTTTGAGCTGAGATGAAGAAGATGACAAAGTCTGGGATCGCGTCTTTCATTCAGACAGAAGACATGTTTTATAGTCAATGGTAGAGACAGCACGAACAACACGAACACAGATACAACAGAATGCAAGTGTATTATACAGAGCGGAGGCATGGAGACCTCCAATCAGCAGCTGCCACAGTGCCATGTAGCTTGGCCTTCAGATAGACAAAACAAGGGAAAAGTACAGGCTTCTGCACATTGATAGAATGATGAGTTTAACTTTAACAAAAGTTGCTTAAAAGTGTTATGAAATCTCACAGAGACTCCATTTTGTTTCTGCACCAGCAGTGTTGGGGTTCAGAATACTGTCTGATTCTCAAGGTGAGGACCAAGGACTTTATTCAGAGTGAACTACTTTTGCTTTCAGCCTAATATTAATATTGATTGTGTTTGTAATGGCCCAGTGCAGCTCACAGCAGCTGCTTCCCTCCCTCACCTGATATCTCCTCGTCAAAATAAAGTCAGGGATGGTTCTCTGGAGAGCAGCGTCTCGATCACTCACTTCATCAACTCTCTGGATCGTGCTGTTCTGTCAATGACACTTTTGTTCTACTGTAACTGGATTATTAGTTATTTGAAAGTGTCTGTTCAACAACTTGACTATTTTTTCTCCTCCCATTGTTCCTATCAGATGTTCAGATGCCCGTTGTGAGTCCTGGTCTCAGTCTGAAGCAGGAGATCCCAGAGCCACAGATAAAGGAGGAGCCAGAAGAGCCGTGCATAAACCAGGAGCAGCTGTCGTTGTGAGTCTCAGCTCTAGGGGTGTGACGATATATCGCGATATCAATATATTGCGATACTTTCTCCCGCGATTCGATTATCCATATGCATTTGCCAAGTATCAATATCGATTTTGAAAAAAAAAAAGTTTCAATATTGAATATATGGCTACATTATGCATCTCCATTCCATTTATCATGAAATAAAGTGTATTTTGTTCTTTTATTTATGCCATAAATTGGCATATTGTATATTTCTGACCAATATATCGATAATCGTCATATCGTGATAAAATCGTTATTGTGATATTATCGTTATCGTGAGCTTTGTATCGTGTATCGTATCATATTGTGAGGTACCCTTAGGTTCCCACCCCTACTCAGCTCTGCTCAAACACTGAATGAATACTTTTATTTCGAGCCATGTCAGACAAGAACAAGGAACAACAGCAAAACAACTGAATAGAAAAAAAACAATACAAAACAAATAATAATAATAATAATAAATAACAAAAAGTCAGCTCGAAAAGGAGTGGGAAGAAGTTAAGACTTCTAAACTCCCACCCCCTATTAATTATTCTAATTTAATTAACTTAAATTATGGTTGCTATAGCTTAGCTTAGTCAGTGGTGCAGTTATGCAACAGTGACATTCAAGTTAATATGCCCTTGATTTATACAATATATGTATAATAAGTTTATATTCTTGTTACCTTAATATTTTATTTGCCTTTAGGTGTCATAACGTCATCATCATCACCACATATCCATATAATTTTCATGTTTATAATGTTCATTATCATGTATATTGCATCAATTAAATAGGATTACAGATACACTCGTATCTATAATACACGGCACGGTGACTGAGTGGATAGCACTCTCGCCTCTCAGCAAGAAGGTCCTGGGTTCGAATCCCAGTCGGACCAGGGCATTTCTGAGTGGAGTTTGCATGTTCTCCCCGTGTCTGCGTAGGTTTCCTCCGGGTACTCCGGTTTCCCCTACCACTAAAAATATGTCCAATAGTTCTAGCATGCGCCTCCTGTACTGGCGATCCCGCTCCCATCTCTGTGTGGAGTGAGAGACAAATGCCCATAATTAACAATTGTAAACCGCTTTGAGACTCAGATCTGCAGTGAAAAGGCGGTATATAAATAAAGATTACTTACTTACATAATACACTCGTCTCAAACATTGTCAAAAATAACTCACTTCCATTCTTAAAGGAGCAGCATGTAAAAAATGTGGCCAAAACTGGTACTGCAGCCTCTCCCACTCTCCCTGACTCAGGTTGCCAGATATGCAGACGAATCCAGCTGGGACCATAACAGCTGAATAGACAAGAGTTTTGTCAACAACAAATCTATAACCAAAACCTTGTTCACAAAGGCCTCAATAGAATTGATTAGGATTTGAGATTTGAGAATCATAACGAGACTTTTTTTAGTTCTGCGCCACATGGTACTTTACCGGTGAGATTAGCTCCACGCTGTGAGTTCTGGCACCTGGATCACGGACTTTCTGATTGGTGAAACGGTGGAGGGCGGGACATCCAAATGAAGATTTAGGGGCTGGAAAAGTAATTTAGAAACTACTGTTATCATTTAAAGAAGTATTGGAAAAGAGCTGTTTATTATTATGACAGATTAGGGCCCTTTAATGATGACAGATTAGGGCCCTTTAATGGTGACAGATTAGGGCCCTTTAATGGTGACAGATTAGGGCCCTTTAATGATGACAGATTAGGGCCCTTTAATGGTGACAGATTAGGGCCCTTTAATGATGACAGATTAGGGCCCTTTAATGATGACAGATTAGGGCCCTTTAATGATGACAGATTAGGGCCCTTTAATGGTGACAGATTAGGGCCCTTTAATGATGACAGATTAGGGCCCTTTAATGACGACAGATTAGGGCCCTTTAATGATGACTTGATGCTACTTTAACCTCTGTCTCAGGTGTATCGTTGAAGAGGACTCTTTGGCTCTCATGTGTTCTGAGCCTGAAGCCGACGCTGAGGAAGACTGGAGAACTACACACACAGAGGCCGATGAAGCTCACAACAGCACTGTCCAGGGTACGCACACCTGGGACTGTGGAGACTGTGGGGACTGTGGGGACTGTGGAGACTGTGGGGACTTTAGGGAGACTGTGGATACCCTCCTAAGACCTGGCGTCCACATATGTGGACCTCACATTTTGGGCTGTGTAAATCAAAATATTATTTTTATCTCTTCAAGCACCTGGTGTCCACATCTGTGGATGTAATACTCTCTTCCCACAGCACACCGTCCTCTTCAGAGGGTCATGCCCAATCTAAAACTCGCTCTGGTAAAAGATTCAATCAAAATTCATGGCAGATACTTGTTCAGATATGTATATAACATGAAGTCCATATATGTGGACAGAGGGACTTAGTTCTGAAATTTTAATTGAAAATGTCCATAAATGTGGACAGTAGGAGTAGGAAGGATTTTTATATTTTAGTTGATAAAAAAAACTGTTTACTACAGTATAACCAGGTCTTGCATGAATCTTGAATAATTCTTAATAGTGTATTAGATTGTTATAGTGTCATTGACATTTTTAAAATTATTTTTTCAGGGCATTACTCTCTTACAGAAGCAATTAAGTTACTGGGGTTACTGCCTGGAGAAAACTCTGAATTGGAAGATTTGTCGGACGTTGATGATCAACCTCCAAGGCAGGGGCCAAATAGCAGTGAGGAGGATAGTAGTGGATGTGAGGACCTGATTCCCTCTAGGCCTGTAAGGGGACGAAAACGTCACAGGGATGAACATGAAGGCCCTCCCGCAGAGCGTGACAGTAGCAGTTCATGTACTCCCAGACGCCGTTCCCGGACACCGAATGATGATGCTTGTGTCTCAAATAATATCCCTGAAAATATAAAACCAGAACCAAGCCTTGAGAAACAGGTGAATGAAGGACGTGGGGTGCGATGGAGGCCTAATCCGCTAACATCAAATCAGTCAAAGTTTGAGCATGAAGACGAAACTGAGCAGGACAGAGCCAACTGGTCCTCACTGGACTACATGCAACAATACATAGACAAATCTTTGATGAAGAATATTTCAGATTGCACCAATGCCACGTCACTTGCCAGGGGTGGGGTCCTACTCAACACCACAACTGAGGAAATCTATCACTTTTTTGGTGCATGCATTTTAATGTCTTGCATACCCTATCCGGAAATCAGAATGTATTGGTCCGGAGCCCTAAGATTACCTGCCATCACAGAAAAGTTCACACGTGATCGTTTTTTCAGATTGAGGCGATCCCTCAAAGTAGTTATTGATGAAGATGTTCCTCAAGATATAAGAGAATGTGACAAGTTCTGGAAGGTGCGGCCTTTTCTGAAACGCATTCTGAAAGGCTGCATGTCTCAGGCAAGACCGCAGTGCGTTTCCATCGATGAACAAATGATTCCATTCACAGGGGCTTGCCCTTGCCGACAATATTTGCCAATGAAACCCAACCCTGTTGGCATGAAAAACTTTGTCTGTGCAACAGCAGATGGTATTGTGCTTGACTTCCACATTTATCAAGGTGCGGATGCCCTCCTTGCCGAGGTCGAAGAACCAGAGGATCTGGGCTTGGGTGGCTTGGTGCTAAAGCGTCTTACTCAAACTTTACATTCCAATACAAATGTCTACTGTGATCAGTTCTTCACATCCATCCAAAGTGTGGAGCGAATGATGAAGAAGCAGATCTACATAACTGGCAGAGTGATGAAGAACCGGATTACAACAGCGCTGCAGAATCTACCCAATGACAAAACAATGAAAACGAATGGAAGAGGTACCTCCGCACAAGTCACCACTGAGGATGGAAGGGTTTGTGTTGTCAAATGGTTTGATAACAAGCCTGTACTGATGGTGTCTGCTGTTCATGAGAAAGAACCAGAGGACACATGCCAAAGGTGGGACAAAAAACGTAAGAGACATGTGACCATCCCTCGACCAAATATTGTCCAAGAATACAACTCGAAGATGGATGGTGTTGATCTTATGGACAGAATGATGAGTTATTATCCGATGAGTGGCCGAACAAAGAAGTGGACTCTGCGGATGCTAATGCACTTTACTGATCTGGCGTTAGCGAACAGCTGGCTCTTGTACCGCAAAGACCACACTGCACGTGGCACAGAAAAGAAGAACATCCAGCAGTTCCTTGAATTTCGGATGGATGTAGCCATTACTTTCTTGAGTCAGCTGGACAGTGATAACCCTGAGCTTTCACAGACAGACGACGGTGAAGATGATGTGGTCCAAGGAAAAAGGCGCTCAGTGAAGGCCGTGCCACACGTTTCAGTGCGCAGGAGTGGGAATGCACATATGCCAGAGGTGGTACACATGAAGAATGCAGCACGCTGCAGAGCCAAAAGCTGCTCAGGGAAAACTCGAGTGAGGTGTACAACGTGCAGGGTGTTCCTCTGCTTACAAGGAGATCGCAACTGTTACACGGCCTTCCACACCTAAGTGTTCCACGGTGTGAAAAAAGCTGGGAGAAGCAGTTACTGAAATTCTATGTTTTGTAAACTGTTCAGCATGTTCAGAAAGGTTTATTTCTTAAGTTTCTGAGTTAAAGTAAACTTAAACGATTGTTCATTTCCTTTTGTCTCATGTTTTTGCACAAAGAATGAATGCTGCTGTGATCAAGCACAAAAGGTTTTGCACATTATAACTCTCCTGTGGCTTTTTCTCAGAAACTATCATACAAAAAGATAATTCTTTGTTGAGGACTGTGGAGACTGTGGGGACTGTGGAGACTGTGGGGACTGCTGTGGAGACTGTGGAGACTGGAGACTGTGGGGACTGTGGAGACTGTGGGGACTGTGGGGACTGTCGGGACTGTCGGGACTGTCGGGACTGTGGGGACTGTGGGGACTGTGAGGACTCTCGGGACTGTGGAGATTGTGGAGATTGTGGAGATTGTGGAGACTGTGGAGATTGTGGAGACTGTGGAGACTGTGGAGACTGTGGAGACTGTGGGGACTGCTGTGGAGACTGTGGAGACTATGGAGATTGTTAGATTCTTGTGGGTTCTGGGTTCTTCTGTGAGTCTGTGGCTGTTAACTGTGGCTCAATATTAGAAAATATAGATTTTAGACATTTAAATGTTCCGTGTTATTGCTGCTGCATTTGACCCAAAAGGTAAGACTTTCACTGAGTGGCCTCACACTCAGGGCGGCACGGTGGCTGAGTGGATAGCACTCTCGCCTCTCAGCAAGAAGGTCCTGGGTTCGAATCCCGGTCGGACCAGGGCCTTTCTGAGTGGAGTTTGCATGTTCTCCCCGTGTCTGCGTAGGTTTCCTCCGGGTACTCCGGTTTCCCCTACCACTAAAAATATGTCCAATAGTTCTGGCATGCGCCTCCTGTACTGGCCCCGCTCCCATCTCTGTGTGGAGTGAGAGACAAATGCCCAAAAAATTAACAATTGTGAGTTTGAGACTCAGATCTGCAGTGAAAAGGCGGTATATAAATAAAAACTTACTTACTTACACTGATATTTATCATATTGTCCACGGTAATCTCTGAGGTCACCAACATCTCCCTAAGACCTTCTCAGTCGAGCCCTGTGACTGAGAAGGTCTTTTAGAACATTTTATTTCCATCTAAACTGTTCTCATTGTCAAGTTGGATAAAACATTTGGTTTTATTGATCTGGTCATCGGAATGGAGAAAATAAATCTTGGTTATTCACATTTATGTTTCCCTCTCTCTCTGTCTCTCTCTCTCTTTCTCTATGTATCTGTCTCTCTCGCTCTCTCATGTGTCTGTCTCTCTCTCTCTGTGTCTTTCTATCTCTCTGTCTCTGTATGTGTGTCTCTATCTCTGTCTCTCTCTGTGTCTCTCTCCGTCTGTGTGTGTGTGTGTGTGTCTCTCTCTCTCTCCGTCTGTGTGTCTCTCCGTGTCTCTCTCTCCGTCTGTGTGTCTCTCTCTGTCTCTCTTTCCGTCTGTGTGTGTGTGTGTCTCTCTCTCTCCGTCTGTGTGTCTCTCTCTGTCTCTCTCTCCGTCTGTTTGTGTGTGTCTCTCTCTCTCCGTCTGTGTGTCTCTCTCTTTGTGTCTGTCTCTCTATCTCTGTCTCTCTCTCCGTCTGTGTGTGTGTGTCTCTCTGTGTCTCTCTCCGTCTGTGTGTGTGTCTCTCTCTCTCTCTCTCCGTCTGTGTGTCTCTCTCTCTCTCTCTCTCCGTCTGTGTGTCTCTCTCTGTCTCTCTCCGTCTGTGTGTCTCTCTCTGTCTCTCTCCGTCTGTGTGTCTCTCTCTCTCTGTCTCTCTCCGTCTGTGTGTGTGTGTCTCTCTCTCTCTCTCTCTCTCTGTCTCTCTCTCTCTCTGTGTGTCTCTGTCTCTGTCTCTCTCTGTAGGTTCTCAGCTGCCCTCTCATGCTAACAAAGGGAGGCCCCGGTCCAGGAAGCGGCCCTCAGAAGGTCCCTCAGACGGTCCCTCAGCGTGCTCCGACTCAGACACAGAGGGCCCCCCACAGGTCAGGCCAATCACGATCTTCTCTATAGTTAAAGCTGAGGAGTCTAACTTTCAAACCACAATCAGTTTTGGTTATTTAATATCATTTTAACCTTTTATTATCTCTAGATCTCGGTGACAGGCATTTATTTTTGTCAGATTCTTTTTCAGACAAAGTGAAAGAGAGCGCGGGACCAGTGCTGCTGTTCTTCTCTATGTCCTCTCCTGATGTATTTAACATTGTCTGTGTGTTGCAGATGAG